ACGATCTAAGTGAGGAACACAAAGTAGAAAAATGCAATTTATGAAAATTTACCAACTTTGAAGCCTTAGATTTTGTAAAATAAATTTTTCTAATTTTTTTGCCAAAATACGTATTTTAGATAAACCCTTTAGATATAATATCCATGTATTTGTTTATTTTTTTTGCCTACTTTTTATCACATTTCATCGAATTTTACGAAATAATCACAAATTCGTACAACACTTCATTTCAAGGTGATATATATAATACTTACAACGTTCAAAAAAATACTTAAACACATGTAATACTTTCAAAAATTAACCCTTTTTAACATCCAAATGGTTTCATGTCATTTTTTTGTTCTATTAAAAGTTACAGCCACTTATGTGCGGCGCGCGCGCTCGCACGGGCCGACTGTCGAGCGCAGCGAGTGCTCGACGCAGCGAGAATTACCGCGTTAATTCACAAATTACTGTTCGTTCAATTTCAATTGAAAAAAAACAAATGTCATATGCGTTTCTTACGTGAAATTTTCCGTTCTTTCGAATGGCATTATTACTTTTTTGATAGAAATTGAATTTAAAAAGTTATTTGCAAAAAACCATATTTGTGCACCTAAATTGTTAAATAAAAAAAAGTAGCACCCACTATCTCGCGGATGCATTTTGATATGTTATTCTACACACTTTCCTTAATAAGTGCCAGAAGAGATCATCGATCGGAGACTTTTTCCGAAGCCAAAATCTAATTTGACTCCACTAATGACGTTATATCAATCAGTGATGAAACAGTAGATTGTAATGAGAATTACAATGACGATTCTCTAGGTTTGCGTTATTTTTTTTAATGTTAACTTTGGTTTTATTATATTCCATATAAAAATATATATATTGCAGGCAAATATATGGCAGATGAAAATAAAGCACCTATAACTGATAGTAACATATTGAAGGTACCTTGTAACACATTAAACAATAATAGCATTGATAGCTTTCCATTTTCACCATCTCGAAGTATAAGTCCTAAGATACAAAGTGTAAAACGTCCTGTGCTACAAAATATTGCAAAAAATTTACCTGAATTGGATGATTTTGCGAAACGTCGTAAAACGAAAGATGATTTACTTGAAAAGGAATTAATACAAGCAAGTTCTACGATATCTGCTACTATGAACAATGTTTCATCTTTCATATACAGCCAAAACAGGAATGAAAATGGTTATATGTTGGTAATAAAAGAAGCATTAAAATATGTTCCTGATACACATAAGACTCAATGTCTCATTGAAGTACTCCAAGTAATTCAGAAATATGAAAAAAGACAATAATGTTTTGACAACTTTATAAAAAAAAATTTGTAGAACATTTTTCTATTTTAAAATAAGTAAGTTTATTAAGAAATGTAGTCAATTTTATTTTTGTATTTAAAACTTGTTCTTTATAGCTGAACTGAATGCATTAGTTTAAAATTAATTTTCTTCTTTTATTTGTTTGTTTTGAAAGTTTAGCGAAATATTACTATTTTAATATGTACTGTTATATATTATAACATAATTAGTACAAAACTTTAATTCCCTTGTTATACAGTATTATTAGTCGTAACTACATTAGGTAAATTAAAGATTGCAATACTTGTTTTACAATGCATTTGCAACGTATTTCTTTGTTCAATAGACAAATTAATTTCTTTTTTTTAGTCATTCTCAAATGAGATGAAAGATTGTTTTACAAAACTTATCTAAAAAATTGTTGCAATCTGCTCACTGTGCAATAAGCATTAGTACAAAACTTAATTATACGTACATAATTATTTTATAAAGTTAATTATTAATATAAAGTTCAAATAGCAATAAGTAAATTGTTATGTATTATTTTTAATTTTTATATCTTGTTTTCCCTTTGTATTTCAATATGAATATTCTATCATATGTAATTAAGTTTGATATATAATGTAATTGAGCCGTTTATTTTGAAAGTGGCCTAAGTCCATTTTTCAATGTTTTGTTGTTGACCTTTGTAGTAGCGTGTATAACTTGAAATTAGGTGTCATAAACAACATTTTTTTTTTTAAAGTGACTTAGGTTACTTTCAAAATAAACGGCTCAATTAATAAATATATAAAACGTATATTTCTTACATTCAATTTTCACTGTATTGCATCCACTGAAATTACTAAGTATTGAAATGATAAAAAATACACATTTATATGATTTTCTAACTTTTATTATTTAGTTTTCAGAATTATTTTTAGAATTAGTTACATCAGGCATGGAAGAGGTTTAGATATCAAAACAGTTACAAAATATAAGCTTTATTCTTGAAAAAATAATAAAATAGTGAAAGTATATTATTAAATATTTTAATTTAAATCTTTTATTATTAAATCATTTTTTTATTATTAAATCTTTTAATTATATAAAATTAAACTAAAATATTCAATACTATTCAATTTAAAGGAAACACAGTCAGTTTTTCTCATGACAATCATTAGTTTTTCTAATAAATCTGACAGAAATATCTTAAAATATAGTTTTTCATAAAGAATGATTTCCATATTAAATATGTTGCCATTGAAATAATATGCTTCCTTCTTCACATAAAATAACGAGCTAAAATGTCACGTTGCCTCATAGCGGTAACTGCACCAATATTTGCACCAACTCGTCCAAAATTAATCATACATTCGTTGTTTGTTGCTAAATTTCGCCAATTTCCAGGTATTATGTCTCCATTAAGTTCTTCTCTATCTGCGATACTAGGCTGTATATATAAATTGTTATTCGATGCTGTAGTTATAATAAAATTATGCAAACAAGTCACAGCTTGTATTATTGTTTCTGCAGTGTCTACTTTTAAACTTATGGACGTTCGTAAAATTCTCCATCTTGAGGTAAGAATACCGAAAGCATTTTCTACAATTCGGCGTGCCCTTGATAATCTATAATTAAACACTTTTTGCTCATTGCCTAACAAGTTTTGTTTTGCATACGGACGCATTAAATAAGTTTTAAGAGGGAAATCCTCGTCACCAACCATACAAAATGGTAGTATAATGTTTGTATTGGGTATAGGACGTGCTTGTGGTATTGAAATTATATTGTTTTCTAAAGCATGACACATGTCTGTGCTGGACCAAATACCAGCATCATTAAGAGAACCTACAGTAGAAATATATTACAAGAATTTTAAACGAATTTCACTTATATATATAATATGACATATTAAACATACCATAATTTCTAATATCCACTCAGATAAAACGGTATCGTGCATTTGCAAGGCCCATTAATATAAAGCTGAAGTAACCTTTATAATTATGGAACATACTACCAGAATGTGCTGGAGCTTGAATGCGACAATGATTACCATCAACTGCTCCTATGCAGTTAGGAAAGTTCCAGATATTATAAAATTTGTCAGCTATTTTTAACCATTCTTCTTCATTACGTTGACATTGCAGATATAATGGTTGTAAAACTTCCCATATGGCTTTGCATATTTCAGGTATAATACTATATAATGTTGATCTTCCTATACGAAATAAATGTGCTGTACTCATAATGCTATCTCCATGGGCTAAGAAACTGAAAAATAATGAATATATCTTTAAATCAGTAGAAGTCATATATACATTATATATATATATACAGGGTGGGGAAAAAGTATGGAAGCAAACAATTATTTCCGAAACTATTCATTTTTCGACAAAATGTCTTAGACATAATTTTTATGGTATGAA